CTCTGCTACTGGATTATCTGTGAGACAAGTCTATTTTTCCGAATTTGCCATTTTGCCAAAGGGTGTGTCTGCGGGATGTTACTATGTTGGAACAGTTAATTAATAATAGTTACAGCACCTATTGTTTGGTTAAAATATCCAATACAGCTAAGTTCTTCTTTCCTTTGTTGTATTTTAATTATAGTATTTCAATAAACTGTGTTTTGCTTAACATCGAGTAGTTTGACCAATCAAATTGCATCTGGAACACAGCATGTTACATTTGTCTTTAAAGAAAGAAAAAGTTAGGGTCGAGGCTACCTTCTTAAAATATTTTGAGGAGGTCCGGTATGGCCTATAACACAGACCTAGCTCAATAAAGGATGCGATGGGTGTTAAATATCCCTGAACACAATGCGTTCTCAAAAGAAAGGAAGGAAACTTTAGTGGGGAGGATAGTGGTGGGAGTCATCAGTGGGGGTGACCATGTTCATAATGGAGAGCATTGGAGGGACAGAATGCCTCGGAGGGGTCAAAGTCAGAAACTATTTGGCTAGAACTAGGGAGCAAAAATATACAATTACATCACTCAATGTGGATTACAGTGATTTGAATTGAGCTTACAACAGGGTTCAAGAATTCTAAAGTAATTTAATGGGGAGCTTTAATTATCTGAATATAGACTGGGATAACAGTAGCATAATGGTCAAGAGGTGTTCACTGGTCAGTAACAAAACAGATACTGATCATTATATTGTAAAATCTGAATTGATCATGGAAATGATCAAGAAACAATCCAGTGTAAGAACTATTAACTGGGCGAAAGTTCATTTCAATGGGGTTGAGAATGGATCTCGCAGAAACCAAATGGAATTAAAGATTGACAGAAAAAAATACAGTATCTGACTAAAGATCTGCCTTTCAAGTAGAGATATTTCAGGTATCAAGGTATTCAAACAAAATGGAAAGATAGGTTTAACAAATCCAGAGCTCCCTGAATGATAAAAAGATAGTGATTAAAATGAAGCAGCAAAAGTATGCTTCCAACAGATGTCAAGTGGATAATGCCGCTGAGAACAAGGTGAAAGTAAAAGATTCAGAGGGGAATGGAAAAATTGTATGAGGATCTAAGGAAGAGCAGGAGTGGAGACTGGCAGCTAAATTAAATCCCAAAGTCTCCTATAAATAGTAAACAAATGGTAAAAAGAGAATAGAGCTGATTAGGGACATAAACAAAGGGGTTTTACACATGAAGACAGGCACCATGGTTGAGGTATATTAATACTTTATGAAAGAACAAGATATTGCACAGGTCATGATGAAAAGAAATGCAATTCAGATATTTGAAGACCTTAAAATTCAGGTGGAGATATCAGATGGACTGCTTGCCACTTAGAGTTGACAAGTCATCAGGGCAAGATGGGATGTATCCAAGGATACTGAAGGAAGTGAATGTCAAAATGACAGAGGCAATGGCCAGTGCTTGTTATACACACAGGGAATGTTGGACAATGGGAGAATCATAAGTTTACACCTTTGCTCAAAAAGTAATGTAAAGATAGGCCCATTAACTACAAACATACTGTTTAACAGTAGGGAAGCTTCCAGAAATTTTAATTTTGGATGAAACTAATTCAATAATAAAACTGGGCAAAAGTGGATTAATTATGAGAAGTAATAATTAATGGATAGTTTTTGGACAGAGGGAAGATTTGCAATGAGTGCCCCAAGGATCAGTATCAGAACTTTTGCTTTTCCTGATACATATAAATGATCTAGACTTTAGTGCACTGGGTTAATTCCAAATTTTGCAGATGACATATGATTTGGAAACTTTGTGAACTGCGAGCAGGATAATGTAGAACTCCAAAAGGATTTGAAAAATTGATGGATTGGGGAGGCAGGCTGAAGATTTAATTCAAAATTAATTTTTGGTTGGAAGAGCCTGAGAAACAATATAAAATAATTGCCTGGTTTATACTATAACCTATACTCTTAACTATTGTGAGCGAGCCCATAAAAAACTTCCACAAATATTTTCTGAACAAAAACAAAGTTGCTGGAAAAGCCCAGCAGGTTTGGCAGCATCTGTGAAGGAAAAAACAGAGTTAACTTTTCGGGTCCGGTGACCCAAGAACTTTGTTTTTGTTCCTGATTTACAGCATCCGCAGTTCTTTCGGTTTTTAAATATTCTCTGAACCCTTGCTGCTTCTTCGTTCCATCTAAATAACTCTACATTTTTATATTCTGAATTATATTATTTGTCTTAACTCTCTTTATCCTATCCTTGACAATCAAGACTCACCCTCTTCCTTGTCCTATGATCACATGGTGTTATGGGTAATTTATTAGTTTGGATAGAGAATTGGCTAACCAACAGAAAGCAGAAAGTCAAGACAAATGGTCTTTTCTGCATTGTCAAGATGTGATCAGTGGGGTGACACAGGGTTCAGTCCTCAGGCCCCAACTATTTATAATCTAAATTAATGACTTGAATGCAGGGGTGGAAAATACTACTGCTAAATTTGTGGGTGACACTAAAATAGGTGGGACACTACGCTGTAATAAAGAGCGAAAAAAACTTATAAGTGGATATGGATAGGTTAGGCAAATTGGCCAAAATTGGTGTAATGGAGATAAGTGAAAAGTTATCCATTTGATTGGACGAATAGAAGAAATGGAGATAAACTTCAGAGTGCTTTCGTACATAGGGATTTGAGTGTCTCATGCATGAATCACCAAAAACTAGCATGTAGGTACAGCAGGTAATTAAGAAGGCAAAATGAATTTTGGCATCTATAGCTCAAGGAATAGAGTTTAAAAGTATGGAAGTGTTGTTGCTACTATACAAGGCATGAGTGAGACTGCACCTGGAGTAGTATGTTCAGTTTTGGTCCCCTTGTTTGAGTAGGGATGGAGATGTATTGGAAGCAGTTCACAAAAGATCCACATGTTCATTCCAGGGATGAACGAACTGTCTTAGGAAGAGAGTTTGAGCAGCTTTGTTTCATGCTTGCTGGAGTTTAGAAGAATGATAGGAGATTTGATTGAGGTCTAAAAAATACTAAAAGGGATTGACAAAGTAGACATAGAACGGATTTCCCCCTGTGGGCAATCTAGAACAAGGGCCATAGTTGTAGGATAAAGGGGAGCAGATTTAAAACAGAGAAGACGACAAATTACGTCTCTCAAAGGGTCATGAATTTGCACTCAAAATGCAGTGAATGCCGGGACACTGAATATATTTAAGGATTTTTTATTGAAGGGTGATGGAGAGCAGGCAGCAAAATGGAGATGAGTCCAAGATGAGATCAGCCATGATCATATTGAATGGTGGAGCAGGCCTGAGGGGCTGAATTGCATACCCTTGCTCCTCGTTCTTATGTTGTCCATCTTGGACTATTTCTTCTAATGATTAATGATTCCTGAAATGCTTACTTCCCAACTTTGATACTTTACAACAAGGAATGTTTTGCCTTCTCAAATCTGACTTAGGAGTAAGTATCCCAGATACTTAAATGTTAGTTGTAGGGTGGGTTGAGGCAGTCATTAGTGTAAATCATGCCTAACATCCTAGGATATTGTATGGAGGCAACTAGACATGTGGACCTTCAGGTGCAGAGGTGGGCTGTGTGAAAGATTGAACTCGGTGCTATAAAACCTGTAAAAAAGTGAATGAGACATAAAAACCCTCACCCCCTCATAACTCCACATATTCTCCCCATGGACCATCCATGCTAACGTATGCCTCAGAGCAGATTCCATGGCTCTTATACACTTCATACCAAACCTATGCCCCTCTACCCGTCTTTTGACCCTATGCCGCATGCCAAGTTAACACTAACCTGTGCCCCATGAACAATCCCTTGACTTAACCTCCCATTCTAATTCTCTCCGTATCCCTCATGGACAGACCTCATTTGCCCTAGTAAAATTAAATAAAACAATATTTTAACTGTCTGCGGCAGACTTAAAAATCTCACTGATAAAATCCAAACATTTCATTTAAATTCATTCAAGTGTTTAAAGTCTTTAAAAAAACCTTTCGTCCTCAAAGTCTGCATCAAAGACTTTTTCACCATTTGGATTTGTCCATCAAACTGACAGGCACCCCACTATAATAATGATAGGTGATGGAATCAGTAGTGTAACGCAAATCTTATAAGGATACACCTTGGGCTTAGGTCAGCAAATTGCATTTGCAGGCAGTTTTTTTTTTCAAACCAGCAGTCTTTTTTAATGTGAGGGGCAGGAGATATAAAAGCTTGGCAGCTCCACAGAGTTAAATGCATTTTTTTTTGTACAATCACGTCTAGTCTGATGTATGCCAAAGGATATCTTGCCTATTCAAAAGGTGGCTCTGAATCTATCTGAAGCATACCCTCTCTCTTCAAGCAGTTCTGATATATATTGGACCAAAAGTTAAAGTCTATGGTTCCGGTTTCGGACATCATCTTAATGAAAATTGGATCTGCTTATAAAGCAGTGGAAAAGTATAGCTGCCTGTATGAACTGAAGATATGCAAACTACAATCCATCCCTGTCCCTCCTAGTGAAAATGGTCAGTGCTGTATTTGGTGTGGCATTTCCAGAAATCAGGATCCAATACCATTGTCACTGAAGCAGGGAGGCTTTCCATAACCACAAAAATTCAAGCCAAAATTTCCATTGCCTTCATCCCGTGACGGCAGGGGGATTTTTACCATAAAGCTGCATCAATGCTTTACACAAAATTAAATACATTTAAAAGCAATACTTCAATGCAAAGCAAAACAAAATGCAGCAGAAGTTGGAAATCTGAAATTAAAAGCAGGAAACTTGGACCTACTCAGCAGGTCAAGCGTCCTCTGTAGGGAGAGAGACAGAGTTAATTTTTCAGGTCAATGAAATTTCAACAGAACACCATTAATGCATTACGTTGACAGCCAGAATATAGTGCAATCTTTCCTTCAGTACATAGCAACCAGAATCTACAAAAAAAATGCTATATGGCATTTTTAAAGGACTAAAGGACTTTGTACCTCTGTTACGAGCAAAATTCCGAATAAGTATGAGATCAAACACACGGCAACTGTCACATAAAAACGTTTGTTTCGCAGAAAGCTGGGAAACTCATCCTGAAGACTTGTTATAATTGTTTCTGGTGAAAGAAAATGGAGTGACATCAATCAATAATTAGCGCACAGGAAAACAGATGAAATCATCTCCCTCATTTTTTCTCCATGCATATCCTCTCCCTTCTGGGACTTGCAACAAATCAGACTTATGCTGACCAGGCTTGGTGTGAGATATTGCCTTCCCTGTGCCTACACTGACCAGAATCAGTGATCTGGCAGATGGAATTCTGAATGTGTGGCTTCCTAGCAAGATAGCTGCTCACCCATAGTAGCCCATCTTTACTAGGAGCAAGGCATGTAACATACAGTGAAAAATATGGGCAGTACTGGTAGGCTTAACTCCAGTTAACAAAGGGAGAGCCAGGGAGCCATTAATGCATAGGATCATGTACATTATAAGAACTTCTCCCAACCTTGCCTTCTAGAATCATAGAATCCCTACAGTGTGGAAGCTGACAATTCAGCCCATTGAGTCCACTCAGCCCCCTATCCTATTGCTGTAAGTCTACATTTTCTCATGGCTCATCCACCTAGCCAGCACATCCCTGAACGCTATGGGACAATTTAGCATTGCCAATCCACTTAAGTTGCACACCTTTGGACTGTGGAAGGAAGCCGGAGCACCTGAAGGAAACCCACACAGACACAGGGAGAATGTGCAAACTCCACACAGGCAGTCGCCCAGGGCCGGAATTGAACCCAGGTCCCTAGAATTGTGAGGCAGCAGTGCTAACCACTGAGCCACTGTGCCACCCACTCAGACAATTTAATTTAGTTCTTTTCTCTTGGGAAGCATTTCATTGCAATTTAAGCTTGCTCAGTTAATAAAGCTCAACTTGGCAATATGGTGTTTGTATTAAATTGTCAGGGAGATGGTGGGTGCCTTGTCATCAAATGGAACAGGCATCCGTCCTCCTGCCTGCCTAAAATGATGGTTTAGAGAACAAGGTAAGGTTGAGGAGGTTGAAAATTGAGTATCAATTGTGGAGTGGTGGACAAAGAGTTGGAGTTGACAAGGTGGACTTATTTGGAATTGAATATAAGGTGAAAGGGAAATGGGTAGGACAAGCCAAAGAGGTACATAAAGAGAAGTATAACTATTTGAAGTTAACTTACTGCAAGAACCCACGTAGGTCAGTGATAATGGGATCCATTAGCAGTTATGTGTGAGATAGCCAGCTTTGCAATTTTTTAAACAACCTGGGACTTACAAACAAGTGAGGATGAAGGTTAGAGTCTGAACCAGGGTAAATCCGATGTCTAGGGTAGCAATGTATCTCACATTCTGAACCATCTTTAATAATGTAAAACCTCTGAACTTTTCAGCCAAAAATTGACATAGGGCTGATTGCAGACGTTTGGACAGTAGATATGGGTTTTAAAAAGCATTAAAGGAGTGTGGTTTTATGGAATACAATTTGAGAATGGTTAAAACCCTGAAGAAGCCATCATGTCTTTACTGGCTTGCCAGTCAGCTAATTCCCCTCAACCTCCACCCTTGCCATTCCAATTTTGCCCCAAATTCTTGCGTCATTATTTCACTTGACATAATTTTCTAATTCCTTTATGAAAGCCATGAGTGACTCTGCTACCACCACACTCTCAGGCCATGTTCTTTACAACCCACCCACCATATAAAAAGGCTTTCCTATGTCTCCTTTGGTGCTTTTCAAATTCATTTTAAATCATTGTTCTCTAGCTTGGGACTGTTCTGCCAATGGGAATAACCTCTCTCTGTTATCTCTGTCCAGTCACCTGATGCTTTTGGAACATTTTTGTCAAATCTCTCAACCTTCTCTTCTCCAAGGACAACAGTCCTAGTTCCTCCTGTCTCTCCAAACAAACAAGGGGATATCATCAGGTTGATGTCCAGATGACTGAAAGCGTTGCTGGCAATGTACAAAAAAGGGGCCTGATGGCTTCAAGGTGGGTGAGCGGTAACCAGACGGAACCCAGTGTCCACCGTTACCTGCAATAGGACAATGCTGGGACAACACCTAGGGTGGACAGAATCAGAGTCAACATGGTGAGTGAAAGCGCAGTATCCACATCCGCTGGACATTAAGACATGTAAGGGAAAATACATGAAGCATGCATTTGCAAAACTGCAGCAACATTCCATTTAAGATAATTCCTTCACCCATTTACAATGCATGGAGAGTAAACACACTTAGCTGTTGAATGCTGTCTCGACAAACAGTCTAGGTCTATTATGTGATACTCAATAGCTAGCTACATTACTTCCGAGATACAAGTGATGGCGCTGTGCTTTTAAGAGGGATTTGTTCTGTGCTATCACTCTTATAAGGGATATTGCCACAGTGGCACCAGAACGCTTGCTTCAGAAGCAGTGGGTAAACAGCTTTGAGCTCCCTTAACTATTATTTTAAATTCGACAAAAGAAGCCTGAGCAAGTGGAGTCAGGCTCATTCAGACTCAGGGTTTCAGTTTTGCTTTCTGTTGAAGTTAGGATTTAATGCTGATAGATACAGTTCTCTCTGTGCTGGAGCAAAAAATCTTGAGTTCTCTTTATTCTGCTAGATTGTCTCTTTCAATGTTCCTTTCTCCTGGACTGGAGGAGATAGCATGTGAGGAACATCTGCTGAACTGAGCTTTGCCAAGGGTGTGTGTATGAGATGATGCTAAATTCAAACAGTCAATGATTAGAAGTTAAATAATACATATGTTTTTTCTGTAGCTAAAGTTGTGTCGATTCTCCTCTTCTTGTTTATATTTTTACTGTGAGGTAAGAATAAAGTGTATTTTGCTTAAAACATAGTAGTTTGACCAATTGAATCACATCTGGAACATAATGCCTTACATTTGCCTTTAAATAAGATAAAATTTAGGATCTAGGCTATCCCCTTGATCATTTTGAGGGGGTTTAGTCTATTCCATAACACAATTGACTCTTATGAGACATCAAGCTGGACTTGAGAGTAGGTTTACGTTACATTCAGCTACATGGAACTAAACACTAGAAGACCTAATGGAAATCCCAAGAACAGCTCTTTATATCCTGATGTGTGGAACCTTACTTGTGACATCAGTAAACACTTGTGCCAAATGTCTTATACAACATCCATTACTGAATGAATAGAAGTAAAATTCAAAGTCAAAATAGTGCGTGGTTCACTACCTATAGGTTGTGGTGCTCCCAAGAATTGGCTGCCCCTTGTCCTTCTAAGTGGTTTGAAAGGTGTTGTCAAAACAGCCTCAGTGAGTTATTGCAGCGAATTCTGGAGATGGTGCACACTGCTGTCACTGTGCATGTGAACGTTGAAGGCAATGGATATGGCTTCATTCAAGCAACTACTTTGTCCTGCATAGTGTTGAACTTTTTCAGTGTTGTTGGAGCAGCACTCATCCAAGCAAATGAGAAATATTCCATCACAGACCTGACTTGTACCTTGTAGATGGTGGACAAGCTTTGGGAATCAGGAAGTGAGTTACATAAAATAAGGGGAGGCGATGGCCTAGTGGTATTATTGCTGGACTATTAATCCAGAGACCCAAATAACATTCACGGGACCCAGGTTCAAATCCCACCACAGTAGATGATGGAATTTTATTTCAATAAATAGCTGGAATTAAGAATCTAATGATGACCATGTATTGATTGTTGGAAAAACCCATCTGGTTTGCTAACGCCCTTTAGGGAAGGAAACTGCCACCCTTACCTCGTCTGGCCCACATGTGATGCCAGACCCACAGCAATATGGTTGACTCTTAACTACCCTCTGGGCAATTAGGGATGGGCAACAAATGTCCAGGTCTTGATACATTTGGGCATGGACTGCTTCAGTGTCTGAGGACTCACAAATGGTGTTGAATATTGTGTGAACATCAGTGAACATCTTAAACCAGCACAACTACCTTCCTTTGTGCCAGGTCTGACCCCAACCAACAGAGAACATCCCCCTTAATTCGCATTGACTCTAGTTTTGCTTCTGATGCCATGTTTAGTTAAATGTGGCCTTTCTGCCTTGGGCAGTCATTCTCACCTCAGCTGTGATATTCAGCTCTTTTGTCCACGTTTGGCCTAAAACAGTAATGAGGTCAGGAGCTGGGTGGGCTTAGCAAATCCCATACTGAACACCAATGAATAGGTTATTGCTGAGCATGAACTGCTTAATAGCGCTGTCATTGACCTTTTCCATCATTGTGCGAATGACTGACAGGAGACTGATAAACTGGTACCTGGCTGGATTCAATTTGGTTTCAGTGGACAGGATATACCTGAGCAATATTTGATATTGTCAGCTAGCTGCTAGTTTTATTGCTGTAGTAGAACAGTTTGACTAAGGGTACAGCTACTTCTGTAGGACAAGTTTTCAGCACACAACAAACATAACATAATGCATTGGAGTATTTATCTATTTGAAAAAGTGCAACTATACTTTCATAACTGAAGAAAACTCTGCTTTCAAACTCTAGTATCAGGATTTATAGCGATTTTAATATCCTGTGCCCTTTTAAATTAGAATAGAAGGATTCTATAGCTTTCCCTTTGTGAACAAAAAGGCAGCCGCATTGTTTGACTGGATATTTAGCGTAAATTAAGAAAAGAAACTGTCTTTGTAGTTGCAATATTCTCCTTTGTTTGTGTTTCTAATGGTTGGCTTTGCAAACTGAGACATTATCAGTGTCTGGCTTAGTTTCAAAGGTAACAAAGAAGTTTATTTCAGCAGGGGAGTTGCTCATAGATTGACTGACAGTTTTAGGATGTTAACAAAGGATAATCTGTCTTTAAAATGGTGTCTGTGTATATTTTTGATAATGTTACAACAGTTTGGCCACTTGAACGAATTTAATTTTTTAATGATTTTTTTTCAGGTGAATTGTGATAATATAACAGGTTTATCAGATTATAAGAAGTCTTTATTTTAGGGTCTGTTGCAAAGACATTTCTTCTGAAGCTAACCAGTAATGAACAGTGGGTGAGTAGCTATGGAGGGTACATGGAGTGTAGAGAGGGGAATACACAGGGACATGACGATGGGTTGGGTGTGAAGAGGATTGGGAATGAGTAGGGGTGGGGTAAGGGTTAGAAAGAAGAAAACCTAAATCAGAGAGCTGGCCCAATGTCTCAGCAAAGTAAGGCAGACCTTGCAACCAGCCCACTTTGGCATCTGAACTCATCTGAAGCTGGTTCTGGAATAGGAAAATACAAACACTCTCTGCCCATGTCTCTGGGAGTTGACTATAAAGGGTTAATATGCATACAGGTGACAAGATTGGACTTTCAACTTCCATTTCCTATGGCCAAAGTAAAAATCCAGCCCCAGAGGTCAGTAATAAGACAAATGAGATCAATAGTTGCTGCGAGCACCAGTTTGAGGGAATTAAAGCAAATGTTTTCTTTCTTTTTCTACCCAGAAGTGTTATCATACACAACTGAATACTTTCCTACCGCCAAAATCACTGTGATTTCTATTTTGCTTTTATTTTGAAACTAGTAACCACCACAAGTAGGAACATTAGTGTATCCAATTAAGAATTGACAAGCAAAGCAAGTTAAGGGCAACGCAGTTACTAAAATGTGAAGGTGAGGGGTGTGGTTAGGGACAGAAGGAAAGGGCTAAATCAAAATGGAGTAGGAGGGGGAAATAAAGCGCTCCAACCCCCGTGGTGCCCACCTCTCCCTAAAAGGCATCAAGGACATTGATGGACACCACATGCTCCCTCTCCAAGGGCACCCGGGCTCAAAAGTAACCGTGGAAGAGGGGCAGGCACTCAGCAGAGGTGCTTGCCTGGACCTGCTGAGAGCCAGCCTGACTAGGCCCAGAAGCAGATCCACGAGGAAGTCCTTCGATCTCCCCCATTCCCTCTGCATCGGGTGCCCCAAAGTCAGGAGCGTGGGGCTGAAGCATGCAACCAAAACACAGCAAAAGGTTTTTCAAATAACTAAAGAGGGGGTGCAAACACCCACAACTGGTATATCCATGGACTACACATCACTGCAAAGTAAACAGTTGAGCAATTGTTTTCTTGGTAGTTAAGTTTCTTGACCAATATAACACAAGCTACTGCTTAATAAACAGACAGCCAAATCATCCTGTACTTCAGTTGCTGTGATCTGTCTGCTTGAAATGGCTGGGTAATTCTGCAGAAGCACCAACATATTGCTGGTCTTGTTACTATTTGGGAATGGCTCAAGCATTTTTGCATACAACTTAGAAAAAAACTTGCAAAAAATATTTTAAACAGTGAATTCACTAATTAATTTGATAGCTTCCTTCTTGGAAGATCGGATGTAAACTAAATTAGCAAATGCAGCACTCACCTACAATTGCAAACTGACTGGTTAATCCTGTTGTGACAACCATACCAAAAAATACAATGGACCAGAGAGGGGCAACTGGAAGGTGGAGAAGAGCTTCTGGGTATGCTAGAAAGATCAATCCTATGCCTAGACAGTGAATAAAAGTATGCAGTGTTATTAATGAATTACAAGGTCATTGGCAAAATGTTGTACCTTATCTAACCCAACAGAAGTGGGGTGCAGTTCTGTTTTGCTACATGCTACTAATCCCACTATGCCCTCTCTGCCATCATGTTGGCTGGGGCCTTCTGCTGGGCAGTTAACATTGGCATTTGAAAAGGGCAGTCCCCTCCACAGTGCAAACACATCACAGTGTGCCAGATGCCAGGAGAATAGTTCCTAACTGACAAGTAAGTTCCAGCTATCAGAAAGGCTAGCCATCTCCTACCGGGGAAAGAGGGAAAAGTGCCATGTATCACTGCCCTGCAGTGCCATGCCTGCCCTTAAACACAACTAAATATCAACTGACATCATTCACTGCAGAATAGAAAGGAATATAGCTTCTCTAAAATGACCCAAATCTTGCTTTTGACATTATATTGCCATTGGGTCCAACATTAAAAATGACATTTAGTCTGAGATCTAAAACAATGTAATTCGAAAAGGGGCATACAGAAAATATAAACATTACCCATATTCTTACATTTCACTTTCAATTTTCCCTGCGAGACCTGCCCAGAATTCAGGCTGGAATGGAAACCAGTAGATTTTTGGGATCAGAATTCCAAACTTGTCCCTCCATTCCCTACATCCTTCACAAGCTACAGGATGTGTTGAGTCACAATTTGACAGACACATCCTATGATATTAATGTCTCTATATGAAGGCTTACACTACCTGCAACGAAAGGATTTGGGAGCATGTGTGATCCCTATCAGGTAAATTAGTTTGTGAATCTCGGAAGGAATATTACTTAGGTGTCAGGGACTTTTTGGCACTTACATTTAAAAGGTCTTTCCACTATCTCTTCATACCCTGTATACCCCTCAATGACCTGTCATACCTCTACGCACCCTATATGGCCCCTTTCCCCTAATTTACTGTATGCTCGCACCATGCCGCTTACATACTGTCCATTTCCCTTCAATTACCCCTCTATCCTTCTCATGCCCCTGGACATCATTCAAATGCATCTTACCAGTACCAACAATGTAAGAAACAATGTGTTGTTTCTTTGAAATGATCCAAAAACTGATTAAAAGGACAAACAGATTATAAAAATTTCCTCTGCAAGTACCAATAAAAAAAAACAAAATGAAAGGTTTTTTCTCTTCTTAACCTTTCGTGATTTTGTCCAAACAAACAAACAAACAAGTGCTTAGAAAATTTGCACTCCCTTTCAAACTGTTTAACTATTCTTGGCAGTCAACACAATACCCATAATGGAGATCAAATGGAGAAACAGATGCCTCAGAGGGTTCCACTAAGAATGGTTGGTTGAGTGCCAAGACTGGTTGTAAGACTCAAACCTGTAGGCCAGAACAATAGTTTAGGTTCAAAAACAGACGTTGCTGGAAAAGCTCAGCAGGTCTGGCAGCATCTGTGAAGAAAAATCAGAGTTAAATTTTCAAGTCCGGTGACCCTTCCTCAGGACTGGTTTAGGTTGTTCTGGTGGAGAAGAAGGGAGAAACATTATTTGTCCCTGAGTAAGCCACCATTGGATAAATCAAGATATGACCAAGGTGTGAAAAGTTACAGCTAATTGACTATGCTTTGCAATCAAACACCATGGAGTCAATGTTAAACTTTGTCTACTGAGTGATAACATGGTGGAATAGATCTCCTGTCTGTTGCAGAAAGCCATTGGGAGTGCCCCGTCAGTAAGTTCAAATTGGACTCAAAGAGCCACAGTTCTTCATTAAGAAAATATTAAGTCCTAACCTAAATTATTGGGAAAAATCTAAAAGATAGGTGGAGTGGTCTCCAAACTTTCAGATAATCCAAAGTAGGGGATATAGCAAATAACTCTGTTGACCAAAGGAAGTCAGAATGCCAAGAAGACAAAATGACCAGGTGGAATCGGTGGTCACCTTTGTTAATGGTTAGATAAGATAAAATATTTTAAGTACTGCAGGTACCTGAATGTGAAATCTCTGCAACTGATAATTGAATTTGATGAGCCATATGTCCGAGGATGGAAAAGATGGCAAATCCAGCCAACACGCTCGTAAGACAGTCAAGAACAGCAACAATGAGGGTATCTGTGAAACAGTCATTCTGGAATTTGTTATAAGATGACAGTGCTGTTACACCCCCCAGCGACACCGACAGAGAATAGAAAATTTGAGTTGTAGCGTCTTTCCAAACCTGATAAAATGTAAGATAGAATTTATTAGCAGCAGTGATTTTTGGGTGTTCCTTTGTGACAGCTTCACATTTACTGATATGTTACCCAATGTTTTGCCCCTGCCACCCCCACCCCTTGCCAAGCTCACCACTATGTCTCATGAAGACTGATTTCAGCGCTGTAGCTGCATTTGCCCATCATGTACGCTGGGCCACATTTCCATCACCCATGCAGGTAATTTGATCGCTTGCTCATGTACCATTGTGTGTTTCGTATGATTGAGCCAATTTTCTGGTGTTTCCAACAAACCTCATGGCTTCCATCACAAGGCTCTGTTCTGGACAGGTATCTGTTTCTCTTGCTTTCTCAATAAATTAAACAAAAAGCTGTGGGCAACATTAGCAGGAGCTCCCCCAAACCCGGGTCAGGTCACACAGGCCAGGGATCAGCTCCATTGGCTGAACAGCTGGCTTGCAATGCAGGCTGATGCCAACAACATGGATACAGTTCCCACATTGTCTGAGGCTAGCATGAAGATCTTTCCTTCACAACCTCTCCCCTTGTCTGAGGTGTAGTGACCCTTAGGTTAAACCACCACCAGTTGACTCTCTCTAATGAAAGAGCATCTCCATGGTTTGGTAAGTCTATGGTGTCTTTACCTCTAGCATGCCACCACCCATACCCCTACCTGGCTTCTACTGAGAACACAGTGTTAAAACTACCCCTTTTGTTTCTCCATGCTTTTATTGCTGATGGATTTCCTGTGGGAGTCTCACTGCTCAGCCATGTTGGTCAGTGTGTAAGCAAATTTCCTAATTGACAGTGCTAATGTGAATACTTGGCTCCATTTCTCTTTGTTGCACTTGGTGGGGTTCCAAGGCTGGGGTTCAGGTATGTTATTGGGGCACAGTCGAGAAAGTGTTCATCCATACCCAGTTTTATGATAGTTGATCAGGGAACACTTGATCCCCAGGCAGTGTTTCATTCCATGCTGCTAACGTCAGTTATTTCGATGGGAACAGATTTCACCAAGTCTTATTAATGTTCATATAAATGTGGCCCATTGTTGTAGACTGTGACGCTTTACTTTTGTCCTTTATTGATATGTTACTTTGAAAAGAGATGTGAGCTTCTTTAGGGAATGCAAATTAACATTGCCATGAAAAATAACAGACAAGAGACATTTCTCTTCTCAAGTAGACTGTACAGTAAGCTCAACATGTCTATGTTAGGCACCTCTTCAATCAAATTTACGATGACCCTCAGGAATTGCATACTCCTTATAAATTCAGGCCACTTTTCTAATTAGTTGGAAACATTCAAAGTGTTCATTTACTCAGAGACCAGAGCAATTTCATAACAGTGCATATTTGACTAACTCTGTCACCTATCTTAAATTATGGAAGAGCACATTAGAATTAGAATCCCTACAGTGTGGAAACAGGCCCTTCGGCCCAACAAGTCCACACCGAACCTCAGAGCATCCCACCCAGATCCATCCCCCTATGACCCACCTAATATACACCCTCTACCTCCCTGAACACTACGGGCAATTTAGCATGGCCAATGCGCCTAACCTGCACATCTTTGGACTGTGGGAGGAAACCAGAGCACCTGGAGGAAACCCACACAGACGTGGGGAGAATGTGCAAACTCCACACAGACAGTCGCCCGAGGCTGGAATCGAACCCAGGTTCCTGGTGCTGTGAGGCAGCAGTGCTAACCACTGTGCCACCGTGTCGCCCTACACATGCCACTTAAAGGAATATTTCCCAAATCAAGAGAACTTTAGAAGATTATTTTAGAGTAATGTCAATGTTCTTTTTTCACTAGGATGGAAACCATCTAGGTTTTTCACTCTGCTACCATTATTTTCTTCCTGATTGTTGATTTTGCATTTAAGTTGAATGACTCCCTATCTCAGATTTAGCATCAGTGACATTAGGACAGCCAGCATTCTAGCATTTTCTTTAAGATAAATACTGATGTAAAGCATTACTTCCAATGATAATATCTCAATAAACAACTTATAAAAGGCCCACATTACCCTTAACCATACTTTTATTTTCCTCCTATTACAATCATTTTTCTTTTTGACTTGGATAACACTTGCAAAGTTTTCATCATACTGCTGTTTTGTTGCTTTCCTCCTTTGTACCAATTCCTCATAGCCCTCAAATTCTCAACATTTCAAAACTATATCCGCCACCCCTTTAAGCACATTGCAATCTAGCCACCACAACTCTGATGTTGAGAATTTCAGACATCCATTACAGTCTGAGAAAAAGAATTCCCTTGCATTCTAGTTTTAAATGACTGTCCCCTTCAACTGTAACTACGCTCCCTGGTTTGAGATTTCCCCAGTTGAGGAAATATCTCAAAATCTACTTGTTAAGCCCCTTCAAAATCTTGCAAATTTCAATAAAAAATCACTCCACATTCTGCTAAACTCCACTTTTTTTAAGAAAAGACATTTAATAATTCTTGATAAGTCAATCCTTTCATTCTAGGAATCAACTGAGTGAATGTCTTTTTATAGAATCAGAGAATCCCTACAGTGCAGAAAAAGGCCATTCGGCCCACTGCGTCTGCACCAACCCTTCAAAGGGTGTTCTTGTTGGGGCCCATTTATTATACAATTATAGTGTAACGTCCCCACCGCTGGACCAGGAGACCTGGGTTCAAGACCCACCTGCTCCAGAGGTGTGTGATAACACCTCTGAATAGGTTCACGAGAAAAAATAGTGCTCTTTTGGGGGCCCTCTTATGGCACTGTGACTGAGTCCCTACCTGGGAGCACGGGTTCAAGTTCCACCTGCTCCAGAGGTATGTAATAACATCTATGAAGAGGTTGATTAGAAAAATGGGTTAAATTTTTAATAAAAGGTTCTTGTAGTGCAGTGGTAGTGTCCCTACTTCTGAGCTTGGATACCTGGGTTCAAGTCCTACCTGCTCGAGAGGTGTGTAATAACGTCTCTGAACAGGTTGGTTACAAAGGAAAAAAAAAAGGTTCAGTCTGATCCCCTTCCCCTCTTCCTACTTCTCCCTCACCGTTGATGGTCTGAAATACTTTCAATGGGCTTTACTGGTAAGTGAATCAATGGCGGATTTACTGGTTGTGGGGTTAATAGATCCAGTGACAGAGATACAAAATAAAAGTTGTGTTTAAGAGCACTTCTGGATATAAAACAAAAAAAAGGTCCACTTTAGAGGACCCTTATGGTACAATGGGATTGTCCTTATCTCTGAGTCAAGAGGCTTGTGTTAAAGTCCAATCTTCTCCAGAGGCATATAATAACATCTCTGAACAGGTTGGTTGGAAAATATCTTAAAAGGTACAGATAGCCATCTTTTGTTTTTTTTTTAAAGCTAAAGCAGATGGCCTGTCAATCAAATGAGTCCAGAGATATGAAGGCATTTTCATGTCAAATCTTTTTCCCTCTGCATTTCTACCTCTCTGTGATCATCACAGCAGGATCCTCAAGCATCCAAAGATTTTGATTTTCAATGCATGGGAATATTTTCTCCAAATGGCAACATTCCAATATATTTCAACACGGACAGAGTACAAGTTAATGCAATGGCCAACTTAACTTTTCAGGATGGGGGCATATGATCAATTACAACATTAAAAACTACAATTTGAAAAATATGCAATAACATAGCAGATGCAGTACATCATAATTAAATGTCAAGTTATATACATCAGTTTGAAAACCAGAAAGGCCAAGTGTTATTTGGAAAGTGATATATTTTGAAGCATGGATGTGCACACGGATCTGAGTGCCCTTGTACACTCATCAATGAGAGTAGACAGTAAGATGCAGCAAGCAATTCAGAATGTGAATGGTATATTGGCCTTCATTGCCAGAGGATTTGAATTCAGAAATGGAGATGTTTCGTTGCAGTTATTCGGGGCCTTAGTGAGACCATACCTGGAGGATTATGTGCAGTTTTGGTCTCCCTGACTAGAAAAGAATATACATGCCATAGGGGGAGTACACCAAAAGTTCACTAGGCTATTTTAGGGATGGCAAGATTGTCGCATGAGATAGGCTGGTTCGATTGGTCCTGTACTTACTCAAGTTGAGAAGAATGAGAAGGGTATACGAATGAAATGTGGAAAATTCTAACAGGGCTGGACAGACTAGGAGCACGGGGGATATTTTCCCTGGTTGGAGTCTAGATCCAGAGGACAAAGTCTCAGGATATGGGGTTGTCCATTTAGCACAGAGATGAGGGAAGATTTCTTCACTCAAAGTGTCATGGACCTGTGGATTTCTCTACCACAGAAGACTGTGGAGGTAAAAATCACTGAATATCTTCAAGAAAGAGATAGATTTTCTTTTGGATTCTAAAGACATCAAGGGTATGGGGAGAAAATGGGAATATGGCATTGAGACAGAAGATAAGCCATGACCATATTGAATGATGGAACAGGCTCAAAAGGCTGAAAGACATATTCCTACAGATGTTAAAATATTCCCCATGTTTAATAATGTCATTTGAAGTTGTCAATAGGTTTCTCACTCTACAGCAGCTTCTCCAAGAGTAGTGGTGGCAGTCCCAAGTAATTCCCATCGCAAAGAAAATAGCGTACAAGATGGAATTCATATTTTCCCTCTGCCTTTACAACGACAACCCTGAAGTGTCAGGATAAGTGAGCAGTGCCACAACATGTCACATTTTTTGACATGTGCTGATCTAATTTCTGTGGATTAATATGTTCTGTCACTTCAGTGCTCTAGCGTGGGCTGGGTGCTGGTCTCTAAACAACTTCCAACATATAATATTTGCTATTCTCTGTCTTCTCATGCTATCCCTGAACTCTCTACCGTCTGCCTCCTTCTAATGTGTTATATCATATCTTGTCAGAATTAATCTCACCTTTCACTACTGTTGCAATACCTCCTTTCTACCAGATTCTCTCATCTCACCACAGTTTAGTTCCTTGTGCTGATCAGCTTTTAGACCCATGTCTCAGTAATGGCCAGCACACCATATGTCTACAATTAATCATAATGTATTTGAATGGTTTTTTTTTGCAGTCATTTTAGCAATTGGGTGTTTGGGTCACGTGTATCCGAACCTGTCCTTTCGCTGTAACATTAATTCGCTTTTTTATTTCTTTTTCTTTAGGGTTTAATTGCTTTGCCCCTTTAAGAATAGAACAGAATAGAATAGAATCCCTACAGTGTGAAAACAGGCCCTTCGGCCCAACAAGTCCACACCGGCCATCAGAGCATCACCCGCTCCCCGGACCCATCCCCCTATAACCCACCATTCTACACATCACTGAACACTACAGACAATTTATCATGGCCAATCCACCTTGCCTGCACATCTTTGGACTGTGGGAGGAAACCGGAGCACCCGGAAGAAACCCATGTGAAGTTTTCCCTTCTCCTATAGTACATAAATCACAATTTCTGATTGCTACTCTATTCTCTATGACTACTACTACACTACCTTTTCAACTCTGTCTTCCTCCAACTTACTACATCAGAAGTCGCTCGACACCAGGTTACAGTCCAACAGGTTTACTTGAAATCACAAACTTTCGGAGCACTGCTACTTCATCAGATGAAGTTGTCAAGTGATTTCAAATAAATCTGTTAGACTATAAGCTGGTGTGGTGTGACTTCTGATTTTGTCCACCGCAGTCCAACACCGGCACCTACACATCCAACTTACTAGTTTAAGGTCCTCATGGCTGTTTTATTTCTCCTATCTTTTGCCTAGTTCAGCTGAAATCCATCCCAATAGATCCATTCTGTCTCAAAGATGGTTCCAGTGTCTTATGAAATGGAACCGTTGCTCACTTGCCATGCCTTTAACTTTATGTTCACCTCCATAACCTGGTTATCCTGATGCCAAATTGTGTGGGCTTGGAGATTACTTAGAGACTCTAACCTTTGAGATTCTGTTCTTTACTGTATCGCCTAGCTTCTTATATGATTCAAATTATGCCTCATATTCCCTATATTGTTGGCTTATGGGCCACAATGATTGAATTCTCCCCTTCCGCACCAAGATTCTTTCAGTCTCTTGCAACACTTAACCATGGAAACTGAACCATACGGTCAAATCCACCGATAAACACAATTAAATGCATTAATCTCTAAGAAATGTGCTTGAATTCCATTATCCTGGTGTGTTTACCTGAGCATCAGCCAATTTGGAGAAGTCTGAAGGGCTTCCAATGTAGTATTTAATCCCTTTATCGGCTCCCTCTAAGGTAACACCCCGGATCACAAGTAAAACTAGAGAAGCATATGGGATTGTCACAGCAACATAAGACACCTGACATAGAGAGTAGATTGTTAGACTTTTCTGTATTTCTGGTACAACATTTACAATACTGAAACCAATTGAATGAAAATCTAATATGATGCAAAGCAATGCAGAGAATGAAGCAGAAACCAGGTGCAATAATGCCATGAAGTGTATATTTGATATGGAGTGCAGATTGATTCCAAACAATAGAGTATTATTCTAATATTGATCAGTGTATTAGCAACATATTAACAAGCGTAATGCATCAAAGACAGTGAAGGTCGATTCAAAAATTTCAATGCTTCTTCGGTTGTCCTTAAAAATTTAGTTCACTTGAATAATATCTCAATGAGTACAATGACTGAAGACTAACAAACCGAAAACAATCATCATGCTATAGTTTACAACTAATCAAGAGATCGGCAACATAGTCATAGATGCCACAGAAGCTATTTAGCTCAGCAACACTCTACACATGGCAATGAGATAAAGCAGGCCTGAGCGAGAACATTTTATAAGCAAGCATCTTTTAAAAATCCATAATTGATTGAGGAAGCATATTTCTGAGTTGTTTTGCTATTAATTTTGCCTTACTTTTGGTCAGCTGCTAATGCAATAGTGTGTCTCTCCCTCCCTTGTATATGTGGATTGTTGATTGGAATGATATAAAGTGAGATATTTGCAAAAATTGCAGAGGGCAAATTATATACATTTGCCAAAAAGATGGGAATTTGCAGCTACAAAGAGAAATTACAAGAAAACACCTTGTTTTGATGAACAGAGTATGCACAGCAAAGTCTCCATTAGAGGGGGTGTTTCTACAGTATTTGAACACTTGACTAACTTCTGAGCTTCTGAAACTTCTGAAAAGAGATCGCAGGGTGATTAAGGGCTGGATCAGCTGTGGACAATCCCACTAGCAGTCCCACTACACATGACAATGGCAGTGTATGGGGTTCAATCTTAGGGTCTGGGTCAGAAAGACACAGCCATTGATTTGCTAGGGGGCACCTTTAGCTACTACATGATAGAAGGCTGGCATACTTGACAGGCAGTGACACAATCAACTGTGCGCTAAAACTTGACTGGATCTCTTTGCAGAGAAATGCAGTGAACTGACCATAAAGAGGCACAAAAGATAACTCTCACTCGAGTCAGTGCCTTATCGAAAAACGTCTGAACTGCAGCATACATTGCTTATCAGTGGAACAAGGCTGGTATTTAGGGCTCATTGTGTGCTTGTTTCTGAGTTCTATTCCTTAAATCCTGACCCCTATAGCTGTGGCCAATGTAAAAACGTTGTTTCAGGTTCTCCAAAATTAATTTTACCTTTCCAGAAAATTTGATTCCTTTGCATAGCACGAGTAAAACTATTAGCCAAGTTATGAGTAGACAGACAGCTAGATGCCAGAGGACCTTCCCAGTCTCATTAATTGAACTTGAACGATGTAAAACTGTAACACTGAATGAATGAAGACAGAATCGGTTACAGTTATATTTATTACATCGAAAAATAAATTCTGTCCTTGTTCAAGGCTAAATTCTCAAGGGAGCACCAAAGCTTGTCTTATTTCTTGGAAAAGAGCATGACAAAAGACAAATAAAAATGTGTGTGAATAATTAAAGAAACCCAAATGAAGACAAATTTAAATTTAGCATGATTACCAATGTGAAGTACAAGAGAGACAATGGGCACATATATAGGTACCTGCATCGCTGGAGTGGAGCTAGAGGCACAGTCATGAGCCAGCTGAGAGCCACTTATCAGGAACCAGACACTGGGAGCTGGGGACTACATTATACCAACAGAAAGTCTGAAAAGCAGTTTTGATGCATCATGTTGCAGGAGGCTGGAGGCTCACTACAACGTGTGAGCTGCTGTTCATTGCTACCAATCTTCTTTAATCGTAAGAAACTACATGGTCTAGAGTGTTACAGGAGAAACACTTCCTGGTCTAACTAGAAGGGTCTCTCGTGGATAATGAGGTACAGTTTATTGCATGTCAGCAACTAGTTACATATATTTATAAGAAAGACTGTTTTACAGTGACTTTGAGGAAGACAAGATGTTAGGTCTTGACATCCCAAGCGGTTCAGTCCACATGACATCGCCACAGTGGGTAGTGCTTTGGACAACCATCATTATTAACTTATTCAGACCCTGAAGCACAACATGGAAGCAGTGGGAAGTTGGTGGTTCTCATTATAAAGGTAATCGCCTCAAAGTCATATATCTCTCACTAGAATTGAACGCTTGCTTCCAAATGTAATGTGCGAGGCCATTGGGAACATATCCAAAAGGTGACAGCGTTGAGGCAAGGCCTCAGTATGTGTACAGAAGATCAGGCTCTTCATAGCCAGAGTGGAGAAATGGGTACTTCATGTGAAAACTCCCCAGAGGGCAAGATTGAAGATGAACTCTGCTTTAGGGCTCTCAGATGACTCAAATAATTTTAGAGTGATATACATTATACTCTATCTGCTATACCATCTATCGGTGTACCTCTAAAATCTAGGGAACCCTGGAAGTTCAAAATCAATGCAGACGTTGTATGCGTAGCCATCTGTTTTCACCATTTATGCAGCAATAATTTCACAAACCAATGTTTTTAAACAGTACAGTAACAGCAAGCCCAGTTTATCTTTCGTACACAAATTAAACATGGGGTTGATTTTCTTGTAAAATACCATTGCATTTGTATTTGAAAACAAGGCAGCGATAGGAATAAAACAACGTGATGAGTTGACATCACTGTCAATTTCTGAGTGCAATTTCATTTAGACTCCATTTGGAACTATGTGGGGGCCCTTTTTCATATGGTGACTGGGAGTATTGTGGCTCACAATCCCTCATATTCTACCAGCTTTCAAAACTGTATGTGGGAAGATGTGTTACCAATGAAAACTCTTCATTGGATCTTCAACTGTAGGTCAGGAAAAACAAACATTTTTCTGATAGTTACTCATGGGTCTGGGGCCTTGTAGTCTTAGAAGTTGATTACAAGATACCCACTGATCTAATGTGCTGCCCTTGACAGTGCCTCCACAGTCCCTGTGATTTTGGCTACACTGTCCAATTCCTCCCACCCATAGACTGCAGAATTGCTTACTGGAGATATTGCCACGCTTTCACAGTTAACCAAGCTTTTGAAGAGCTGGAACCTCCAGGCCAAAAAATGGATCTGGTCCTACACCGATCATCTAGTGAACTGGTCCTATACTGATTCCATGATCACCTGGCAAACCATAGCAATCCAGTGCACAATAATGCTTAATGCAGAAATCAGTTCCCGCCCTCAAATCTCTACATAAGTAATTGAGTTTCGGTAAACTGACAAACAGTAAGTTCAGACCCCTAGCTTCACTAACTTTTATAGTACCCACTTTGAGTAGAATGTGTACTCACTCCCAGAAGTGTTCGCTTCGAATCTTATGGAATGAAGAATTCTGGCAGTTTTTATTTCCATTCATTTCTGTAGACGATGTCAAGTTGCACATGGGATCTGAAAAATGATAAATAATGCCTAAAAAATTCATCTCGGGAGAACATCATTGGTCCTGTGCTGCATTCACACTTTCTGATCTGTTCAGACTTTTCTACTCATTCTGTTTTATTATATGGTAAATGTGAATGAAATAGTGATTCAATCAGCCTCAACAATTAGTGGCAAAAAGGTATTTGTTGATATCACCCCGTTAAATAAAAATCAAATCCTTTTTAACTCTCCTAATAATAAGATAATATCCCTTTTGCATTTATCTAAACACTAAAAGATAATCATTCGCTTACTTACCTTTTTAAAACGTTTCCACCTTAACAACATCTGCTGCATTGAACACAGTCTAACTCATTGTGAATTTTTTTCGCTCAAGGTCACTTATATTTCTGTCAGGGTGGAAGTGTAATTGTGGTATGGTGCACTGACCTTTACATCGCCGAGGCCAGGCGCTAACTCGCTGACACTTCCTCCTACCACCCCCTTAATCACGACCCCACCCCTGACCACTAAAACATCATCTCCCAGACCTTCCATAACCTCATCACCTCAGGTGACCTCCTGCCCACAGCCTCCAACCTCATCGTTCCCCAACTCCGCACCACCCGTTTCTATCTCCTTCCCAAAATCCACAAACCTGACTGCCCTGGTCGACCCATTGTCTCCGCTTGCTCCTGCCCAATTGAACATATCTCCGCTTATCTCAACTCTCATTTCTCCCCCCAGTCCAGGAACTCCTCACCTACATCCGGGACACCACCCACCCCTCCACCTCCTCAAAGACTTCCAATTCCCTGGCCCCCAACACCTCATCTTCACTATGGATGTCCAATCCCTATACACTTGCATTCCCCATGCAGATGGCCTAAAAGCCCTCCACTTCTTCCTCTCCCACAGACACAACCAGTCCCCCTCCACCGACACCCTTATCCACTTAAGCGAACTCGTCCTTACACTTAACAACTTCTCCTTTACCTCCTCCCACTCCCTACAGACAAAAGGTGTGGCCATGGGTACCCGCATGGGCCCAAGCTATGCCTGCCTCTTTGTGGGATACATGGAACAATCTCTCTTCCACAGCTACACAGGCATCATCCTCCACCTCTTCCTCCATTACATCGATGACTGTATCGGCACTGCCTCGTGCATCATCAACTTTACTAACACCTTTCACTCCAACCTTAAGTTCACCTGGACCATCTTGATACCTCTCTCTCCTTCCTGGACCTCTCTGTCTCCATCTCTGGTGACCACCTCAAAACTGATATCTCTCTCAAGCCCACCGACACCACAGATACCTAGACCACACCTCCTCTCACCCACCTTCCTGCAAGAATGCTATCCCCTATTCCCAATTCCTCTGCCTCTGCCGCATCTGCTCCCAAGATGAGACGTTCCACTCCCGGACATCCCAGATGTCCTTGTTTTTCAAGGACCGCAATTTCCCCCCTTCAGTGGTCGAAAACGCCCTCAACCGCATCTCTTGCGTTTCCCACACCTCTGCCCTCACACCCCCTCCCCGCAATAAAAACAAAGACAGAATTCCCCTTATCCTCATATATCACCCAATTAACCTCTGGAATCAACGCATCATTCTCCGCCATGGGCAATCTGACCCCACTACGAAGGATATATTTCCCTCCCCACCCCTATGTGCCTTCCATAGGGACCACTGTCTCTGCAACTCCCTCGTCCGCTCCACACTGCCCACTAACCCCACCACTCCCGGCACCTTTCCCTGCAACCGCAGGAGGTGCTACACCTGTCCCTACACATCCGCCCTCACCTCCATTCCAGGCCCCAAAAAAACCTTCCACATCAGACAGATGTTCACCTGCACATCCGCTAATGTGGTATATTGTATCCACTGCTCCCGATGTGCCGTCCTCTACATCGATGAGACCAAGCGGAGGCTCGGAGACCACTTTGTAGAACACCTGTGCTCTGTTTGCAACAAACGACAACATCTTCCAGTCGCGAACCACTTCAACTCCCCCTCCCACTCCCTGGACGACATGTCCATCCTGGGCCTCCTCCAGTGTCACATCGACACCACCCGGAAACTGGAGGAGCAGCACCTCATATTCCGCCTTGGGAGCCTACAACCCAATGGTCTCAATGTGGACTTTACTAGCTTCAAAATCTCCCCACCCCCAACCTCATCCCATGACCAACCCTCCCTCTCATTCCCGCCTCCTTGACCTGTCCGTCTTCTCTCCCATCTATCCGCTCCTCCCACCTCACTGACCAATCCCCACCACTGCCTATCTGCACTCAGCCATCACCATCCCACCTACCTTCCCCAACCTGACCACCCCTCTCTCTATTTAGTTTAGAGTCCCCTTCCTCCTCCCCCATTTCTGAAGAAGGGTCCCGACCTGAAACGTCAGCTTTCCTGCTGCTCTGATGCTGCCTGGCCTGCTGTGTTCATCTAGCTCCACACTGTGTTATCTCAGACTCTAGCATTGGCAGTTCTTACTATCTCAGATGGAAATGTTGTTTTTCTTTATGGCAGGATGGATTGCGAGGTTACTTTTTTAAGTTGCAAGGTAACCAAGGCTGGGGAATAAATATTCAAGGGCATTTGATATTTCAGATGGGTAGAAAGAAATACAAAGAAGGTGGAGTAGATCTATGATAAAGCATTAAATTAGTGCAACTATGGGAAATGATCTTGGCTTCAAAGATCAAAGTCTAGAATCAGTTTGAATGGAAATATGAAATATCAAGTGAAACAAATCCCTGGTAGATGTATTTAAAAGTCCCTTAACCAAACTGCAATGTAGGACAGAGTTCATTCTGTAAAATAATGACAGTCATTAAGGAAAGTGATACTTACCTTGGTGATACTTATCCCTGCCTTACAATATGTCTGAAATTTGATAATTTTGTTTTCACAAATACAGTTTTTGCTAGATTTAGCACCGACCCCAATGACTATAATTATTTAAATAAATTTTCTATTTATTCTACATGCACCTTTTATGCCTTTCTGGATGCTACACTATTATCCAATGATACAATAGGCTGGGTCTGCGAAAGGTGGTGAAGGAACCAACAAAAGGAAACATACTTGACATCACCCTCACCAATCTGCCAGCTGCAGATGCACCTGTCCATGACAGGCTTGGTAAGAGCAACTACTACACAGTCCTTGTGGAAACAAAGTCCCACCTTCACATTGAGAATACCTAGCATCGTATTATGTGGTACTATCACCGTGCTTAACAGGACAGACTTTGAACAGATCTACCAACTCATTACTGGGCTTCTATGAGGTACTGTGGGCCAACAACAGCTGCAGAATTGTACTCCTGCACAATCTGCAACTTCATGGCTCGGCATATCCCCCAAGCAACCATTACCATCAACCCAGGGGATCAACCCTGGTTCAATGGAGACTGCAGAACAGCAGGCCAGAAGCAACACTAGGCATTCCTAAAAATGAGGTGCAAAACTTGTGAAGCTATTAAACAGGACCACTTACATGCCAAGCAGCAAGTGATAGACAGAGCTAAACAAGCCCACAGCCAACAGATCAGATCTAATCTCTGCAGTCTTGCCACATCCAATCATAAATGATGGTGGACAATTAAACAACTCACTTTAAGGTTTTAGCAAAGATTTGTAGTTCGGGTCATGGGTGAGGTTGTGGACTTGCTAGCCGAGCTGGCTTGTTTATGTTCAGATGTTTCGTCACCATGCTCGGTAACATCATCAGTGAGGCCTCCGCTGAACTGATGTTGTTCTCCTCCACTTGGAACTTATATTGTCCGGTCTGTAATGGTAAGTACTGTTATTTCTGGTTTTGTTCTGTATGGGTTTGTATATGGGCTCCAATTCTATAGTTATGTTGTCCCAGTTAAACTGATGGTGTTCATTGTCTGAATGTATTGAAATTAAGGAAAGTTTGTTGTGTCATTTTGCTGCTAGCTGATGTTCATGTATTCTGATGGCTAGTTTCCTTTTGTCTGTCCAATGTAATGTTTGTGGCCATCAGTTTAACTGGGACAACGTAACTCTCGAAGCCCAAGCCAAACGTAGACACACATGGGAATTCCTAGAGGCATGCTTCTCAACCCATAATGCAATCAACAAATATATAGAATTGGACCCCATATACAAACCCATACGGAACAAAACCAGAAATGGCACCACTCACCATAACAGTCCAGACAGTATAAATTCCAACTGGAGTAAAACAACATTGCTTCATCAGAGGCCTCACTGATGATGTTACCTTACATGGTGATGAAACATCTGAACAAAAACAAGACAGCTCGGCAAGCAAGTCAACAACCTAAACAACTCACTGGAGGAGAAAGCTTCACAAATATCCCCATTCTCAAAGATGGACAAGCCCAGCACATTATTGTAAAAGATAAGGCTGAAGCATTTGTAACAATCTTCAGCCAGAAGTGCCAAGTGGATGATCCATCTCGGCCTCCTCCAGTGGTCTCTAACATCACAGATACCAGTCTTCAGCCAATTTAATTCACTCCACGTGATATCAAGATATGGTGGAGGCACTGGATACTGCAAAGGCTTGGGCCCTGACAATATTCTGGCAATAGTACTGAAGACTTGTGCTCTACAACTTGCTGCACCCCTAGCCAAGCTGTTCCTGTACATTTACAACATTGACATTGACTCAGGTACGTCCTGTACACAAAAAGCAGGGCTAATCCAACCTGGCCAATTAGCGCCCCATCAGTCTACTCTCGATGAACAGAAAATTGACGGAAATGTCATCCACAGTGCTATCAAGCAGCACCTGCTCAGCAATAACCTGCTCAGTGACACCCAGTTTGTGCTCCACTTGGGCCACTCAGCTCCTGACCTCATTACAGCCTTGGTACATATTGACAAAAGAGCTGAAGTCCAGAGATGAGGTAAGATTGATAGCCCTTGACATGAAAACTGTATTCAACCGAGTATAGCATCAAGGAGCCATAGCAAAACTGGAATCAATGGGAATTGGGGACAAACTCTCTGATTGTTGGAGT